AGAAATGTCATAAGATTCATCATCAATAAGACTGGTGTAATAATTAAATGCATAATCATAGTCGTGATTATCATTATCATTATCATCAGCTGTAGCATCCCTGTTATTATCAACACCATAATAATGATAGTTATTATCATTTTTATCATTATTCCCATTATTATTATTTTCACCATCCTGCATATATTTCATTCTATCATTTTTATTATTATCTCAGCAGGGGGGGGGAGTAGAGATAAGAAAACAATTATGAACAGCTCAAGTTATTCTGGGAGGTTATTATAACCGTGGCAAGGAGAGCGCCTCAAGCAGAATAAAGGTAAATCATATAAAAGTTATCTTCACAGTAACGCTGATGATGATGATATATATCTTTATATCTATCTATCTATCTGTCTCTCTATCTGTCTATCTAACAAATCTATCTGTCTATACAAACATATACGTATATATATATGTACATATATATATATATATATATATATATATATATATATATATATATATATATATATATATATATATATATATATATATATACACCCACACACACACACATATATATATATATGCATATAAACTGTATATACATATATATATACATATATGTGTGTGTGTGTGCGTGTATGTATGTGTGTGCGTATGTTTGTGTGTGTGTGTATGTGTTTCATGTGTTTTTAGTTCCTATTTTAATCTTGAACTCAGCGATAACATGTGTAGATGGAAGGATTCTCTTTATATCACTGATTTTATTATTTCCAATGTTGTTATTGCTGCTATTATCATCATTGCAATTACCTTTAATTGTTCTCCTTTTTATTTTTATCATCAACTTTATTGTCATTTTTTTCTCTTATCATTATCCTTACTCGTCTTATTCTTATTCTTAATATTCTCAAAACATACAGATGAGTAGCCCCTAAGTACAGTCTCCGATATTTTTAAATATATGTAGATAAATTTGTAGTTGTATGTTTTTTAAAAGTCAGCTGGAACAATTTCAATACCTATATCTCAGTAATTATTATTAATCATTCAAGTTATTGTTCATCTTCATTTTTTCCTCTAAACAATCGCCTGAACGAAAGATATGAAAAAAAATTAGGAACAGAAATTGAACCATGAATAAATTGAAGAACAAACAAAAGAAAAGAAAGAAAAGGAAGAAGAAAAGAAAAAAGAAACCACATGGGGAAAAAACGAAAAAAAAAAGAAAAAAAGAAAAAAAGAAAAAAAACGAAAAAAAGAAAAGAAACCACATGGAAAAAAAGAAAAAAAAAAAAAAAAAAAAAAAAAAGAAAAAAAAAAGAAAAAAAAAAAAAAAGAAAAAAAAAAAGAAGAAATAACATAACTCTCAGATCCTACAGGAAACCAATAGGACAAACTCCCAGCTGTGCTTTCACACCCGGTTGAGGGGAGAGAAGGGCAGGGTTAGTGACGTCAAGCCAGATAAGCTGATAATGCATCTATGTGCAGTGTGGCTCTTTCTAGATTTATACATATGGGTTTTATTTATTTATTTATTTATTTTACATTCCTTTACTTGAATATTATACATATGGGTTTGATTTTATTTATTTATTTGCCTTACTTTACCTGAATATGTGTTTGTGTTGAGTTATGAATATTTTTTTCCTCTTTGGATGAATATTTGAGTGTTCGAAATGAGTTATAGGTATGTGGTTGTTTGTTTTATTTTTTTTTGTATTTTGTGTGTGTGTGTGTGTGTATTTCATGGACGTGTGAATATTTTTACAATATTTGAATACTTTCTTGGTGTTGCAGTACATATATAACATGGGAATAATGATTTGAAGGTAAACAAATATATGTCTATCTATATATATATATGTGTGTGTGTGTGTGTGTGTGTGTGTGTGTGTGTTGTTTGTATATATCTGTGTGTGTACATGTATATATGTATGTATATCTGTATATATGTTATTATATACACCGTAATGCTATTACTATCACATCTATAAATAAACATATAATATATACGGTTAAGCTAAGATATAGTGAGAATAGTATTGATGAAAAAGCTGCTCTTAACTTCAGAACCGATATCATTTTTCCCATGGCATCGAATTTATACTGATATTCATGTAAATGAGCTTTGCTTGGTTACATGACTGTGCAAGTTTACCCAATATTAGCTGTCGAAAATGAGTTATTTACTGTCGCATTGTGAAAATAACGACAGTGTTGGGAAGTCCTGGCGCCCGATTTATCCTTGCCATTATCATAGTGATGAAGCAGATTAATCCTGATGCTGCTGCTGCTGCTTCTTCTGCCATCTGCCGTGTCGCCGATCCTGGCAAAAAGGAGGATAATGACACTGATGTTGTTGTTTTTCTAATAGGAAAGCTTAGTGTTATCATCATCGCTATTACTGGTATTGGCTTTTTTTTTTTAATCGGTATTATCTAGAGAAACGCATACTCACACACACATGCACGTACTAATACACACACATACATACACATACACATGCACATACTAATACACACACACACATATACATGCACATACAATACACACACACACACATACACATACACATGCACATACTAATACACCACATACACACATACACATGCACATACTAATACACACACGCACACACACATACACATGCACATACTAATTGCACATACTAATACACACACGCACACACACATACACATGCACATACTAATACACACACACACACACACATACACATGCACATACAATTATATACATGCACATACTAATACACACACACATACATACACATACACATGCACATACTAATACACACACGCACACACACCACACATACACATGCATATACTAAACACACGCACACATACATACACATGCACATACTAATACACACACGCACACACACATACACATGCACATACTAATACACACACGCACACACACATACACATGCACATACTAATACACACACGCACACACACATACACATGCACATACTAATGCACAGCCATACACACACTCAGAATGAACTATAAACTAAAAAAATGAAAATAACCATCGAAGTGCAAACCTTTTTCGTAAAATTTCACTCGGCTGTCTCAAAAAAAAACTCTACGGACAATTTCTCCACGTTTCACTATCTCGGTAAAGGTCCCGCTGTAGAAGAGACTCGCTTTTTAACATTTCATAATTTGAACTCATTATCGTCCATTTAAGCCTGACTCTATAGGGGGAAATTGAACAGAATGACACTAATCTGCAAGTCCTAAGATAAAGTCAAACGAGATCTTAAGATTGCATATTTTTTATGCAAAATGTATAATGTTCTGACGAATATACATTCAGAACCGCGCAAATACATATTTTGTATTGTGGATATTTTTTCTCATTCCTACCTTTCTACACTTGTCAACGGTTCATATATAAATATATGTTTGCGTGTGTGTGTGTGTGTGTGTGTGTGTGTGTGTGTGTGTGTGTGTGTGTGTGTGTGTGTGTGACATACACAAACACACATTATATATTTATATATATGTTCTAAAGTAATAATATAACTTCAGTGGTAGAAACGTGAAGGTTTCTGAGCAATGTGAAAAATTTGTTAGAGTAAATACTCAAATGGAAATAGTAAACAGGAAGCATATATCCAATCAGACAGAAATAGGAATATCAAACTAGCGCAAATGTTTTTTTTCTTTCTCTTTTTTAAAGTTCTTTTTATATTGATAGGTTACAAAGAAGCTATAGTAGTAGTAAACAAATTCTATACTAAAAATTCTCATCTTAAGATCTGTTTTACTGAACCCAATGCCGACGGTGATTTCC